GCGGTAGATAAAAAGCACAACCTAGCAGCTAAGTGCTGTTCCAAGCTCCATCTCAGCTGGATTGCATAAACTTCCCTGTGCAAAGAGAGGAGGCCCAATCTGAACTCTTTAGGTTTTTGAAATGCCACCACCCAACATAATGGTGTGACAGACAAAATATAGAACTGGGCTGACCTAAAATAGCAGGCAGAGAATGGTGCCTGGCTGCGTTACTGCCAGCCTTGATTAATCCTTCTCAGTTTGCATACTTTATTCAGGTTTTTTTTTATACAAATAAAAAAAAAAATCAGATTAACAAGGAACCCGGTACATACAGTACATGCCATGAGTAAGATGAAATCTTTCTGATACCCAGACATACAGGCCAAATTAATCAACTATGGATTAACCGGGTCAATCTGTAATTTAATAACAAGAGAGATCAGGGATCAAAGTTAAAAAGGGGCTGGAGTCAGGCAGTATTTCCATATACAAAAGGTTGTTAAAATGTGGCACAAGCTGCAAAAGGCAGCAGCGAAAGACAGATGGTGTGAAATCAGTTCCACAGAAAAGCAGGCATGTTTTTCTAAGGATGCAGGAGTGTCTACAACTTTGATGCGTATTTGGGACTAATCCAATATCCACTGAAGTCAGTGAGCCCGTTTCCATTAGCTTCAGAGTTTTGGATTAGGATTTTAGGTTCAGATTCAGGAAGATTTAAGCACATGCTTAACTTTAAGTATGCTTCATTGCCTTCTGGAACAATGATGTTCTCCTGAATCAGCCCTTCCAGCTGTGATCATTTATTTCCCACCCAGATTAATAAATACTAAGTATCATCATTATTATTTTCCCACAACCGCATAAGACCTCAGGAGGAATACAGTCACTTATCAAGGTTTAATTTAGACCATTCCATTAGTGATCTTAGGATGCATCAACTTTCTTAGCAGAGGGTTAGCAAGCAGGGTTTTTGCCCTAGGTGGCAGCTGCATTAGGGGTGGCATAGCTTCTGAAGGGACTATGACCTTTTAATAGAGCTAAATTCATAATTGTTGCTGTTGCTATTATGCCTCATATTCATTGCTTGCGCTGTTGTATATACAGAACATGGTATGTCATGAAGAACCATACTGAAACCATACTTACCTTTGAGGCACTGAATCACTTTCACCTTTGTGGCCAAGTTGTGGAATCTTCTTAGATTATTATTATACATTAAATATTTAAAGAGCTGTATATTTTGATAGACGGACAATTATTTATGAAGTGATTGATTGGTGAGCATCAAAGAACCAGTTACATTTAAGATGGCAATAATGAAAAGCCTGATCCAAAGCCAAAGCGAGTCCTTCCTGATGGTTCCTAATCTGCTTTGACATTTATATATCACAGGCAGATGCAGACAAGAACACCAAGCCAAACACAGCCTTACTTTTTGTGCACTTATGAATCTTACTTCTGGGACAGAGGCAGATCCCAGTTTTGTTTCCAGCAGTTCTCTCTTGGACACCTGTACCTATGACTTACCGTTCCCCTAGTGAAAGACAGTGGTTGCATCTACATGTGTAATTTATTGTGGAGTAGACTAATTAACTGCGGAGTAAAGTGTCGCCATCTGCACATGCGATGCTATTAGCCTGCAGTAAACTACTTAACACAGCCATTACAGCGGAGTAATTAACTGCAATTAAATGTACATGCAGACGCTGACCACAGGCATAAATTGCATCTGGTCAGTATGCCTGTGCGAAGTGGCTAGTATTCGTTTCGGATTCAGATTCAGCCAATTTGGGGGACAGTGATTCGATTTGGTGATTCGAACCTCTGTCTCAATTTGATTCAGCTGAATCTGATTCGGAGATTTGGCTGCTGCCGAATCTCTGACTCAGCCAAACCAGGCCCATCCCCTGCCCCTCTCCCAGCCCGGCAATGGCCGCCCTGCCCGCCCCAGCTCTTGGGGGAAAAAAAGCCCCAGCTCAGCAGGTGCTGCCAAGTGGGAGGGCGATCCCACTGCCCCCCACTGCCCCATGCTCCCTGCTGCAGCCACCGGGGACTGCCCAAGTCATCAAAGCTCTCTGAATCTTTTCCAAAGATTCAGAGAGCTTTGAATCAATTCAGACCTTTAAACTGGTCCCCTGACTCAGATTCAGAGATTCGGCCACCGAATCGGGCTGGATCTCCTCCAAATCGAATCACCATCCGAAGCTTCGCACAGCCCTACTGGTCAGCCCAGCCAGGAGGGGGCCAGACTCCTACCTGGTGCCTAGCCACACGGCTCTGCACTTTCAGCACCCTCGTGCCCCAGCCAGCTGCCTGACACCACCACCCGGAGCCAGGGCCAGAGCAGTGCAGGAGCAGCCCTGGTGTAAACTGTTCCCCCTGGCTCAGATTGCTACTATAAGTGTAGACAATGCAGTTGGGAGTAGTTTACTCCCGTTCAAACTGCTCCAGAGTTAATTGCTTCAAATTAATTGCATGTGTAGAAGCACACAGTCATATTTTCTTCACTCTATGAGGAGTAAATGATGTTGAGTGGTCTCCATGACATACTTTGGGTGCCACCTCTTTAATGGAGGACAGTAGTGAGGCTTTTTGTTGTTTCCTCCTTCTGGAATTACCAAAAAGCATGAGGAACTCGTGCTTCTTCTGACATTGTCTGGGAGGTTTTAGTTATTCTGAGCACACAAAGGAGAACAGGAGCAGTTTCCTTGAAGGGAAATCATGTTGCTGGGCGATTTGCTCAATCTCTGAGTGTAATGAAGTGTTATGGCATTTCAAAGTTGATTTCTAGGGGCTTTCCTTTCCACCACCCCCAGTCAAGCCCTGCTTTTCCTTGCTGCCAGTGGGAACTTCTTCGGGCTGGTAGATTGCCCTGAGCACCATTATGATCACCAGAATGCTGTTATATTTGGAGAAGGAGAGAAAACACAGAGCAATTCCTTGTACCTTTCCCCTGAAAACATGTTCTACCTACATTTACATACAGGGTTGGATTTTCAAAAGACCATTGCATGTTGGGTGCTCAGCTTTAAGACCACTCTAAATGCTGGGTGCCTTCCGATCTGAATTTGCCTCTGAGCACTGATTCCCAGTCTCATCTGTGACCTTTGAAAATCCACATGCTGCCCTATTACCTTAAGCAGCAAAAAGGGATACCATTTAGAGTTCGTCTATATACAATTTTAACAACCAAATCTGGACTTTATTCTTGTTAGACACAACTAGTCTGGCATCAATGAAGTGTTAGTCTCCCCCACCCCTCTGACACCCACCCAAACAGACATACACACACACATGCTAAGCTGCTCATTTGTCATCCTTAAGATAATTAAATCACAACTGTGAAGTGCCTCCTTGTCAAAACTTCACCTGGAGTATAGTTTCATCTTCCATGTGCCATGCAAATAATTCAGCCTGGCAGAAAGTCAAGTACTTGCAACTGAGCTGCTGTTACCAAACCTGGAGTTTTCAGTTATCCTTTTCGGATATGTAGCACTCTTGCTTGGGAACAGCCTGAACTGAGATACTAAGAGGTTTTCTGCTTTGTGCTTTAATGTCACATCTTATCTCATTGAATCCGGACCTGCTAGCAGCTGTATTTTTGAGCAAGTGAACAAAAGCTGATTGAAAATCGATCGTCGCAACTTTTTGGAAGGAAATATTTTTAAACTAACCATACACTTTTGCACACATGCACACACACAAATGTGCATTTTGGCAATTGTGGGGGGCAGGAGTTCATTGAAAAAGAAATAAAACTGAGCACACACCGAAAACCTAGCAATGGTGGCAACTGAAAGTAAAAACAGTATGATTTCTGGTTGTCCTCAAACCGAAAACTTTTGGGGGTTTTGCATTTTCTGTTTTTCACCAGCAGCCTAGATGTGTTGAAGGCAGGAAGAGAATCCCACAACAAAAATAATTCCATTCACATTTTTCAAGAGGCAAAAACATTTCCTAGAGAACTCTAGCTGGGAGATATCCTCAGCCAAGCTGCTACTGTAAATAGGAAGTTGGCTTGAAAACATTGCTTTCCTGGTGCAATAATAATAATAATTTTGTGTCAACATGGACTAGCTGGGACTAATTTTGGAATAAAACAGTAGCTTTATACCTTCCTCTGCTAGGAATTGCTTTCAGTGCTAACTTGTTAGTATCAGTAGAGCTACAGTGTGGACATTTGTCCTCTGAGACCACACAACTCATTTCACATAGGACACCAAATCATCCTTTGGGCATAGAACTAGCAGTAAACGTCTCTTTAACAATACTAATATCTCTCAAACCAGCCAGCACCCTTGAATGAGCTTTAACTGGAACGAGCTTTTCATTACTGCTTAGATGGCTAAAAATGTTTACTGCACCAGCCTTTGGTGGCCATTTACATACGCCAACATAAATCCTGGTTTGATGCCACAGTGGTTACTGGTTTAGTTTCTACACCTTACAAATAACCTGTGTGCATTCTGCTATACACGCTGTCCTTACTATTTGTTCTGTATTCGATGTGGAGCCTTCCTAATACAGACTCATGAATAAAGCCAAGAAAGACCACTTGGATTTCATAGATGATTTTCTACAACTAGTCAAATGCATCTCTCGGTAAGTCTCCTGACTTCACTAAAGTTACAGAAATCATTGATTTGGCTCATATTCTCCTTAAGAGTTGTGGGCCAAATTCTGGTCTATTAACCAATGCAAACATAGAGTAGCTACACTGATTTCAGCTGAGAAGGACTCCACTATTAGTAGCGTGGTCATCAGGTGGCAGGCACTTCTATGTCTGCCAAGCTTACCGGTACTTTATCAATGAATATCATTTAAAAAATGGTTCGTCTGTTGTTCCAAGTTTTAAATGATCACACTTCAATACACAACTGTAATTATTCATGAATGCTCCTACCCTCTATGCTTAAGATTACTAACAAGCTAAACACAATAGAGAATAAAATAGAATATAGACACACTAAAATATATTTTACTTAGGGCATCTCTGTCATGAATAAAAGTCAACAAGATGTATTACAAATATTAATGATTATTTTGTGCAGCCCCTAATGATTCAAAAACCTGCACACCATCATCAAAATGCAATGATACAGGGTAATTTATGGCTTGGAAAAAGAACAATTCCTTTAACATTGTTTTCAGAAGATGCATCATTTCCATCTATCCATCTTGCATCTTTCTCAAGAGCATCAAGAATTAGCACATGCATAAAACTGAACATAAAGTGGATCCGGGAGCCATTTTCTGTTTGGTCCAATGGGATCCTTTTAACATGATTGATTTACATTTTGTCCTATTGAAATAGAAGAAAAGGACTGTTTTAATACAATGCGATGTTATACGTTAAGGTCAGTTAAGTTTCTACCCTGCTATTACTATAATTAGCACTCCTTTAAACACAATAAATGAAATAAAAGCCAAATCAGCCACTCACCTCAAGTCTAAGTCAAATGGCCTGTGTTATTTTTTCCCCTGGTGCAATAGGAGTATCCTGTCACGGAGGTGGCTGGTGTCTGCTTGTTTCTGACACAAAGATAAGGATTAGACAGAGTTTGCCTCGGATAAGACTCAGATTCAGAAATCCTATACCCCTACGAAACCCTATCTCATCTTGTTGTCCTTGGCTATAAAAGAAACACAAGGTAGAAGCACCCTCCTCAAAGCTGCACGCTCAAACAAAATTGATGTTTCTTGTGTGGGTAAGGGTCAGCATTTGAAAACAAACTCAAGTCTTGTAAAGCCAGTATTTCAAGAGCTGCTTCTTTCAGAGAGAGGTGAAAGTAGACCAGATCGCTTGGGTCCTCATCTGATTTTTCTCAAATAATAAGCGGCTTGGGGATAGGACCTCAGGTAGTATAACCTTACAGTGCAGACTGTCTCTGATTTTCCAGCATAGTGCTCTAGCGGCCAGCCCACAGGGCAAGCATCATTCAGTCACCTCTCCAGCCCTCTTTTGGAAGCTGGCCTCCTAGTCAGCCAAGTAAAGGAGAGATGTGGGACCAGAAAAGGCCAGTCTGGAGGCTTTGTGGCTCAGCGAGATGCCTGCTGCACTAGATGGGGGACAGCCTTGAGTCCTGGCTTGGGCGCTTGTTCCCAATGGGGTGGAGACTTCCCCATTGCACTGCACTGCTTTCCACTGCACTGCATTTTACCCAATAACTCTTAAATGCAAGGTGCAGTGGCTCAGCTTAAAAAGGACATAATCCCAGCCTGTGGCATGGTGGTTAGGGCACCGAGAAGCTGGCCTATTGCAGTTCAACCTCCTTCTGGGTAAAGGGGTCCTGCCTATGGGTTTCCAGTTTACTAAGCAAGTGACCTTAGCATTCAGCTGTTGGACCAAAAACACAGTGGACTTATGCTCGCTCAGTCTACATGTGCCCACAGCAAAGGGCTAATGGAATCATAACTTGTGCAACAGTGCCCTAAAGACCACTTTTATGGCTAAAAACAGCATCGTTTTTGGTGTACAGAGGGGGAAGAATTCCATTGGCAACACTAAAATGTTTCATAGATTTGTACCAAATTAGGATTGTTTGGCTGGGGGTTTTCTGGTTCGAAAAATTCAGAACTGTTGGGCCGCAGGCACTTTCACATGGAAACATTTATGTTCTTTTGATGTTCCATTACTTTTTGTTTCTAAGCGTCCTTTAATCTGATTTGAAAGGAGTTGAAAAACCACACACAATCATTTTGTTTTTCAACTTGCTTGGTATTGCCAGCAAACTGAAACAATTAACAGTTCCCACAGCTGGAACTAGCAGCAGAGAATAAGGGCAGGAAAGAAATGTGGAGAAGGATCAGTACTGAGCAGCAGTCAGCAATGTTTTCTGGTGGCAGACCAGAATGCCCCAGCTTGGGTCCCCGGCAGGCCCGCTCTAGGACCCGGGCACCACTGCCATTGCCACTCTTCTCCCCACCACCGCTTCTCTTTGCCACCCCGCTGCGACATGGCAGAGGAATGCCTCCCACCACCAAACACTGCCAAAGGTCCAGCTTAGCAAGCTGAATCCAGCCCATGGGCCATAGGTTATTGACCCGTGGCACCAAGTGTTCACCGATGGTGCAGTGCATGAGAATATGAATAAGTCTTCCCAAAGGAAAGGATGGAGGCCTCATCCCCAAAACTAGACTATGCAAAGAACAGGCGAACAAGCCATATACAGACTCATCTGGGCAGAGCCAGGTAGACAAAGCCTTGGCTGGGAAGATCTAGTTGGGGATGATCCTGCTATGAGCAGAGGGTTGGACTAGATGTGACCTCCTGAGGTCTCTCCCAACCCTCATTTTCTACAGTATTATGACCCAGCTGCCTTTAAGATTAGTGGCAGTTAGATCAGAGAACAAACTCTGCACTGCCTGAAGAGGACAGACCACAATCCTACCGTGATTTCTTCATGGACTGATCCCAGAACCTGTTTAGGGTCCTACAGACTCCTTTGGGGCTTTGTAATTCTGTCTCACATTGCTCACAGATTGCAAGAATAGGACCTGGCAGCTCTCGGGTGATATACAGACTCCACTGGCACCATCATTAATGGGTCTTCTTCATCTCCAGCCTCTGCAACCAGTGACGATAACAGCTATGTTCTTTACCATAGAGTCTCTGCACTTTTAAGTCCAGAGGTCTTCAGTAACTGGGAGACATCTCTAAAAAAAGTGGTAACAGCAGTAGAAATAGGTAGGATCTCTTCCAGTGGTGCTACTCCAAGTCAGCTCCTCTTGCTGTTTTGCTTCTGGATGCTACCTGAGTCACGCTCACCAGCAGGTTCCAGTAGGTCGCTAGCCCTAAATGGCCCACCGGAAGTAGGAAATGAATGGCAATGTTAACAGCAGTCACCAGTTCCCAAGTCAAAGGAAATTTCCAGGTGTCTTTAATAACATTCCCACCCCTGTGTTGTAATTACCCATTCAACTGAATGGTAATAATAGGAACTAGTGTACTAAGTGGCATATCAAGAATCATGTTAGCATATCAGTCTAAACAGGAATACTAGAAAGACTGCAGCTTAGAGAAAGGCTTAAAGTTGTTACAATGATGTCAGGAGATATGGCATAAAAGGTGCACTCATTAATACCTAATGGGTAAATAAATAAAAGATGCCACTAGTCTGTGAATCCTGATTCTTCCTCCCCGTCTCACACCCTGTGTTCCTCCTTCATCTTTATTCCTGTCTAGAACCTCACCCCCAACCCCCTTAGGTACTCTCTCTCTCCATCTCTCATTTTCTCACTGTCTTTGGTACACATATATAATTGTCTGTAATTGCCTGGTCACTAAGGAAGGCTAGTGCTATGGGTGAGACATTACAGGGCGACTCAGGAGACCTGGGTATTTTTCCAGGCCCTGCCATAGCTTCCTCCTGTGACCTTAGGCCTGACACACAAACCCTTGGTCTCACTTCCTCACCTATGCAATGGGGATCTTCTTCTTTCGTATGGCGGCAGGTATCGGCTTCCAAATCTACGAGCCACTGCCTGGTATTGCTGCTCAATGTGCAGATTCTATCTACCCTGTCTGGGCCTTTGGAAAATGTGCAGCTTTTGATTAAGTGCTGTGCTGGTTGCTGGGCACTACATTCATGCAGGGAGGCTGTCCAAATCATCTGTCCCCTATTTAGATCAAAAATACCTTGGAGCATGGGCTGGCTTGCTGAGCAGACAGGAGGAGCCTAGGACTCCAGGGCAGCATCGGTAGGACATCTGGAGGGTGCTCTGCACACTGCCTAGTACAGTGGGGGCCAAACTTTTTGGCAGGCGTGCTACAGATTAAGCCTGCACCCTCCCCAAATGCCACTCTGATCCCTTTCCCCTGGTTGATCTGCCACTCTGCTTTCTACTCCTGCCTGATCCTGTTGCTGCCTGCCCCTCCTTGATCTGCTGCGTGCTGCACATGCAGGCTGCCAGTGCCGCTTGATGCATTCATGCTGTAGGTTGCCCCTTCCTCCCCGCTTCCCAGCCCAGCACCTGGCCTGATGGTTGGGATCGCTTTGCTGTAAGGTGGGAGATGGTTTAAACTCCCTCTGAGAGAGAGAAGCTAGATCCTAGATCTGCTTCTGCTCCCTGGGCAAGTGCCCAGCCACCAGGTTATTGGGCTAAAAGATGAAAGGTCCCTCCCCTTTCTCCTCCTTTTACTGCCAGTAGGTGCACGCACACGAGTGGATTCGGTGTCTATCTGTGCTGGAGGAAGATCAAATAGTGCAAAAGTGCCAGACGTCGCCATTATGCAGCTGCAGGAGTGCAATGGGATTTGGCCGATTGCACCCTCCCATTCTGCTCTTTGGGTTTCTCTGTTCTTCCGCCCTTGGAAATGCCAGAAACAGTTAAAATGGGACATGCATATCCCGAGAGAGCATGCTGAGAAGAGATGGATGGAAACGAACATATTAGCTGCCTTTTTGAGCATGCACAGCTGAGAGCACCTGCCAGGTAACCCAACCCACCTGGCTTCCCTCCAGAGGGCAGCTCACTTTGGTGCACTAGTTGAACTCCCAGCATGACCCAAACTGGCCCACCTGGGGAGCTTTGAAATGCCTCAGGGAGGAGGAAGATTAACATGGAAACATGAAGACTGAAAGAGGAGACCCAGGCAGGAAACAAAGGCTTCTCAACGTGAACTCTCTTCCTCTTCTTTGGATGTGACCTCATCCTGCCTGCCATCTGGCAAACACCTGGCATGTACCGCCTGTTCCTGAGGCCGGGTCAGGGATGGCTGTGGACAGCCAAGTGCTACTGGACTTGGCAAGTTGAGCCATCTGTCTGGCTGACTTGCTCAGTCAGTTCCCTGGCAAGGAAGCTGGAGTGGTGTTTAGTTGCCGGGGGGAGGAAGGGGCTGGCTCAAGATGGCATAAAGGAAAGAGCAGAAGACTCTTCTATGCTTCTCCTGGCATCAAATCTAATCTTAACCCTTCGCAGTGTTGTCAACCTGAGAATGGAGCTGGGGGAACAATAGATGGTTCTGATTCATGGGCTGTTTTGAAAGGCCAAATCAAAACCAGTTAGGGTTAGACCAAAACCAAGTATTTTTAAGATTATTTTAGGGTAAATCAAACAGTAGAAAATTTACTCATTTGTAGATCAAAAAAAATTTTGTTTTGGTGATAACAAAAGGCTTGGGCAGAGCCGTCCCTAGGGTATGGTGAGTCGGGGTGACCGCGCCAGGCCCCGCACTTTGGCGGGGCCCACAGAGCTGGGCGGAGCGGCCACGGGTCCTCCTGCGGGGCCCGCCTGGAGCTGGCAGCTCAGCCCCGGGCCATGGAAGAAGCACGGAGACCACCCCACCACCACCACCCCCCTTTGCAGGGGTACCACAGCCCCGCGCAGCATTAAGGGGGCCTCACACAGGCTGATCTGCCCCAGGCCCCACGCCCCCCGAGGGTCAGCTCTAGGCTTGGGTTTGTCCATGCTTAAATATTTTATTCAATAAAATACCACGGGAATTTTGGAATGAAAAAGAATGTTTTTAAATAAAAAAAGAAAAACCTGATCTTTGTGGACTTCCCATGGCATCTCATTCCTAAAGGAAC